AGTTTTATCCAGACAAATTGCCTTAAGTGTAAATGTACAAGTCAGCCTGCCATCAGCAGAAAGGGCCTTAGAGATCACCCAGGCTCCCCTAGCCCTCACTTGAGGGATGAAAGGCCTGCGGCCCAGAGAAGTATGACATCCGTTATAATGCTGTGGGGTGGCACAGCCAGGACAGGAGCTTGCCTCTCCCACCGTGAATTCCAGGGTGCTGTCCAAAGCAATGCAGCCTGTATTGCTTGTTCTCTCCAAGGAACTCACCATGGCAGGTGAGTTTCCTCCCTCTTAAACTCTATTTGGTCACCAAAATTAACATATTTTTCCCTTACTTCCAGAATATAAGCCCAGATTTGTCCACACCCGGCAGACCCGTTCCTTGTCTGTTGAATTTGAAGGTGAAATATATGACATCAATCTGGAAGAAGAAGAACTGCAAGTGTTGCAACCCAGGAGCATTGCCAAGCGTCACGGTGAAGGCCACAGGGGGTTGGGAGGTCTCCAGGCTGCCAGTGGTGGCAATGGAGATGAGTTGCTGGTAGACAGCAGCAATGCTGTGGGCCCACCCGCCACTGTCCATGTGACACACAAGTGAGTTCACGAGTTTTCACTTTGCAAAATGTGACAGCACTCAGCAGTGCAGTGTCCGAGCACTGACCTACATAACCACAGGAAGCAATGAGGGGTCCATAGCATGGTAGATTGGACATGTGTTTCAAGTTCAATTTCATGAAGGCTAATCAGCTGGGAACCCAGCCAGAGTAATTCATCACATCTTGATTTAGCAAGCATGGAGTTCTGCCCCTAAGTAAGGGGCAGGAATCTTCGTAGGCATCTAGAAGCAATGAAAACAGTTTTGGGGACTGGTGGAGGCTCTTGCACGCTGCTTGGTCACTGTGGCTTACAGCATGGCACAGCCATGGCCTCAGAAATGAAACACAGCCCAAGTGAGGCAATGAATCTTGAAGAAACTTCTAGAAAATTGGCAAGTGGGTTAGGAAGGGATGTTAGATACGGAAACGCCTAACTTGTCCCAGATGGTGGCAAACAGAGAAGGCCTTGGAAGTCACGCAGACAGGGAAGGGAGGTGACTCACCCACAGCGTTAACAGACTTGCTTGGTTCTTTGGTTTCTCCCAAAATTGACTTACTCTCTTGATAAAGAAATATTTTCTTCTTGAATTTATTAGCAAGATCTTTGTTTTCTCTCTAGTTTCATCACTTTCAGGGCATGGGTTACTGGGAGCTCAGCCAGGATTTTTATCTCTGGGCTGGTCCTCAGAAAGTTAGACCAGGATTTGTTTCTCTGTCATTAGGGGCTGACCCCAGTCCCACCTGCTCTCTATCCCTGGGGATTCAGAACTTAATGAAGGAACTGGAGCTAGAGCTCCATGGTAGAGCATTTGCCTAGCATGGAAGAGGGCCTGGGTTCCATACCCAGCACGGCAAAAATAGATAAATAGATAAAACAATAACAACAAGACACATTAGTGGAGTACTTAAGAAAAACTCTTCTTTTTTTTGTTTTTTTTTTTTGAAGACACAATGAATTATTCCTTCTCACTCTGCATTTCTTTAAACAAGCCATTTACATTGTGACTATAAAAACCCTTTTTTTTTTCCCATGTGTATTTCCTCACACTTTCAAAACTTGAGTTTGGGAGCACAACCTGTTTGTGGAGACATGAATATTAAAAGCTGCCTTGCAGGGTAACCATCCTTTGTCATCCGAAAGCCAGGACACATTCTCATTCGCTGTCTTGTAGGGATCAGGCAAACTCACTGCTTGTATCTATAGTAGAGTTAAGGATAGTAAGTAAGTTCTCTTTGCTATCTCTTGTGTTTTCTAACTTTAGAATGTAAACCTATTTCTTAAGGTTTTGTTTGTTTTGTTTTGTAGGTGCTTTATTCTTCCAAATGATACGATCCATTGTGAGAGAGAACTGTATCAATCAGCCAGAGCCTGGAAAGACCACAAGGCATATATTGATAAAGAGGTCAGCACTGGGAATGGGGGTGTAGCTCAGCAGTAGAGTGCTTGCCTAGCATATGCCCAAGTCCCCAGCGTGTTCAATCCCCAGCACTGCCAATAAACAAATAAACGAATAGAAAGAAATCAGTATCACACTGTGCTTGTAAGATATATTTCCAAATCTCAGTGTGTGTACAAATCATCTTTCTTATAATTACATGAAGCAATAGAAAACAATCAAGCTATGTATCTTTCTCCAGCGACTGTGTGATGGTCCTGCTGAAAACAGAACAAAGTAAGAGAAGGGAACAGGGACTGACTCACTGATCTTTTGCTGTGTTTTTGAGAAAATGACTCAGTTTTAAAAGCGGCATTGGTTAAGCTTCTCCGTAACACACTGGTTGTAGCCTATGTCCAGCTTGTTTCCAAATTAATTATCATCTCAGATAACTATAATTAAGGGAACACAGTACACAAAGATAGAAAGAAAGCTAATTTGCACAGAAAATTTTATCTTACAATGTAATTGTTTGAATATATACTTTTCAGATTGAAGCTCTGCAAGATAAAATTAAGAATTTGAGAGAAGTTAGGGGACACCTAAAGAAAAGAAAACCTGAGGAGTGCAGCTGCAGTAAACAGAGGTGAGCATGGCTCCCCCCATTCCGTCCACTTTCTAAACTCATTTTTATACAACCTTGAGTGGCTAGCACCACACTTGTTCCTCTTTTACCAACATAGAGCAAAATATGAATGTGTTGCCGTATGCTGTGCTGAACTCACCCTTTTAAGTGTTAAATAGACAGGAAATTTAGCAAAAGGTAAAAAACAGTTCCACTAAACTGAAATAGTAACAACAGAGTAACTGCCTGCTTCTATGTTGCTTTCCTTTAATAAAATGAACTGTTGATGAAGTGCAAGGTTATAAAGACTCACTTTGTAATCTTTTGGCCTGCAGTTATTACAATAAAGAGAAAGGTGTAAAAAGGCAAGAGAAATTAAAGAGCCATCTTCACCCATTCAAGTAAGTAACTCTATGTTTTCCATATTCACCAAGAGTCAAGGACTGTACACTGTCCCTTGCAAGACCAAAAGGACCCCTGTGTTCCAAATGGTGGTGCTCTGGAGGAAGTAGATAGACCCAGGAGGGCATATGGCTCAGAAAGTAGAAAGCCTGTACCTCCTCCAAGGGGACAGATGCTTCTGGAATCCTTTGAGGGACAGCTGTGCAGTTACACTGTGGTTCTGATGCCCCTCTGCCTCACACAGGGGACCAGTAAGTGGATTTTCCTCCATGCGATGCCTTTTGTAGATAACGATTGAAAGTTACAGACACTTCATTAAGTTGGGACGTTTAGTAGAGCAGCCTGTAATAGTCTGGGCAGAGCAAGGAAGCTTACAGATAATTAAAACAAGAGCACATTTGCATGAGTAGATTTAGTATTTGAATTTCAATAAAATCTAAACCTTGCATGAAGAAAAGCTGATAATAAAAAAAGAATTTTTAAAAAAAAATCAGTTTTCCAAACCTATTTTTTAAAGATTTTATAAAAGGATTTTTGAAATCTTCTATTGCCCAAGCTATCTGGTCCAACTAACTAACCATGTCCTCTATGACCAATAGGTATGGTGCTACCAAAAAAATTATCCCATTTGTCCAAAGGGTGTGACTTGCATTTATGTCAATCAATGCTTTATATAAATAAGGAAAAAGATGTTGATGCTGTTAGGTTTAGTAAGGTTCTAAGGCAGCTGTCACTTAGTAGCCTTTGCTGTTGCTGGTTATATTTTTGGGGCCCTCTGTAAAAAGTAAAGGTCATCTATTGTATATCTGTTAAGGTGCAGCTGAATATTTGTCCAAGGCTTATAACAAATCTTCTGATCATCCAAAAAGAAAAAATAAATAATAATCCCTTCTTTTGGACTAGGGAGGCTGCTCAAGAAGTCGACAGCAAACTGCAGCTTTTCAAGGAGAACCGGCGAAGGAAGAAGGAGAGGAAAGAGAAGAAGCGGCAGCGGAAGGGGGAAGAGTGTAGCCTGCCTGGCCTCACCTGCTTCACACATGACAATGACCACTGGCAGACAGCCCCATTCTGGAACTGTAAGTTGTTCTTTCTAAATGCTGCTTCTTGCTGCCATGCAAAAAGATTGAACTCCTACTAGGAATTGTGCAATGAACAACCAGGAATTAGGGTGATGCAAGTGTAGTTGTGCTTTGTCCTGAATTCCTTTACCAAAAATTTACTTTTCTTCTACAGAAATTTTTATGATATTGTATTAAAAATGCTGAGCTTCTCTCTGGGTCTTTTTTCCTGATGGCTTTTCACAGAACAGCCAAAACATGGCTGAGTTACTGCCTGGTAAGCCTGCATTGTAAGTTGATAACAATAAGGGTCCAGACAATTTCTCCCCAAATAGGTTTTGTTTCTGCTTTACTTCAAGTGCATACTATAAACATAATAAAATGAAGAAAAAGAATAGTAAATGTTCTTTAAATGCAGGGTCCATGCCCTGCTTATCTTTAGTCCACTTTGGAGCCAGCATCATCCTTACGGAGCAATACAGACTCTGAAAAATTGTTTGCTTTTACAATGAGTTGCTAAGGATGCAGAATAATTGTGCACTTAAACAGGTGCTTGTGTTTTCTTTAGTGGCCTGCACCTAATATTCACTGAAGACCCAGAAATAATACTCTAGATTCTTATGGACTGTCACCCAATTGAAGGCTTACCAGGAGAATAGATAACACCCCCAATCTTCCAATTCAGAGGATCCAAGGAGACCAACAGGCAGTGTTCCTCAAACTGAAACCCAAAGAGTGGAGGAAAGTCATCCAAATGGAGGGAGTAGCATCCCAGCTGAGGGAACAGCATGAGTGGGGTCCTGGGAAAATCCTGGACCTGGTATGTCCAGGACTAGAAAGACTCTTAAAAGATGAAGTTTTCAAACCAGGAAATTATACAGATTGCTCCTTCTAGAAGGAGGCGTTTATACCTCTGTCTGCTTCCTCGATCTGAGCTGAGGCCATTCTGCCCAGGCCACCACCATTTCTTACCCCAACCACTGCCAAACCTCTTATGATGTCTCCCAGATTCCTCTTGCTATTGTCAATCCACTCTGTTCAGAGTCAGAAGAATATCTGAAGGTCATCCTGGTTTTTTACCTAGACGAAAAAGCAAAACCTTGATTGGAGGTGTGGCTCAAGTGTTAAAGCACCTGCCTAGCAAATGTGAAGCCCTGAATTCAAACCCCAGTACTGTCTATCCCCCCAAAAAGAGCAAAAACCTTAACATATCCAGCAAAGCCCCTCATGGTATGATCTAGTCCTACTCCTGACCTTTTCCTCCCTCCCACTCTTGCCTACTTTGGCCACTTGGCTTCTCTTTCTTCCTTTCCCATTTTGTGGCTTTCGCCCCTACCTCCCCACAGCTTCATGCCTATCAAACACCTACTCACCCTTCCGCTCCCAACTATACTGTCACTTTTCATGGATACCTTCCCTGTGCCTCAGACCAGCGTAATTCTTGGTTGCACAGTTGGTTCTCAACACCCATGTGGATTCAATTAACCACAGATGGAATATATTCAGAAAATGATTTTGTCTGTACTGAATCTGTACTAAGTTTTTTCCTTGTCATTTTTCCCCTAAACAACACGGTATTTCTATTATTTACCTAGTATTTACATTGTCATAGGTGTTATAAGTAATCTGGAGATGATTTAAAGTGTCCAGGAGGATTGTGTGTCTGTATGCAAATGCTACATCATTTTATGTGAGGGACTTGAGTGAACATCTGAGGATTTTGAGCGAGCATCCTCAGGGTGTTCTGGAACCAATTCCCATGGATACTGAGGGACTGTACACTGTCAGTGTCTCTGCCCTTTCTTTGTGGGATTTACCCCATATATGTTGTTGTAGTGGTTGTTTTAACTTTTGTTTTCACTTAACATTTGTCTCCTCATTAGACTACAAGTTTCTTAAGATCAGAGACTATGTCTATGTGACACTGATCCCCTGACACAAAGGAAATTCTTAGTCAAATTACATGAATAAATAAAGATACAAGCAAACCTCCCATCCAAGATCAGATCAGTGCATGTGGACTTAACTAACCTTTGTGTGCCTACTGTTGGGTGTCTCTGTGCTAGCGGCCTGCATGTGGAAGGCAAAGGGAGCAAAACAGCTTTCTAATGTTGCTTAGTTTTCAGAAGCAAAGTAGAGACTAGGTCTCACTCAGACCAAATTGATGCTCTTTCTAGTAAGACATTGGTGCTCTTCGTATTGAGATTCTAGGACAGTGGTTTGCAGAATCTTTTCACAACAAGCCACAGGAAAAAAAATGCATTTTTATTTTATTTATTTTTATTTTATATCAGAATCCCTTACATACACAAATGTGTCTGTATGTATACATATAGCATATGTGATATATGTATAATACACAATGAAACTAAAATTTTCAAAAGTAATGCCATGTGTGATAAGCTTTGGTATTTGTCTATTCTAGTTCCTATTTTAATGATGTTACTCCTATTTGCCACTTATCTGCAATACCAACTTGAGCCTTTGGCTTAATAGTAGATATTCAGGAACAACAATAGCAAAAAGAAAGCTCAAATCTTTCCAGGAACATGACACTCTAATGCAATGATCTGAAAACATTGTGGAAATGTACCCATAGCAGTTGTGGATACTGGGGTTTGAACTCAGTTAGGTAGGTGCTCTACCACTTGAGCCACCCTGCCAGCCCTAGGCTATATTTAATTATATTATACTTGTACTGCCATACTAACTTGTCCTGTGTATTATGACAATACACAAAACAAGTTTGAAAATAGTAGATAAAAGTAAAGAGTATTAAAAATAAATTTTCATTTCATTTTTGGAGGTCCTAAAACACATTGCTCTTACTTATTAGCTATGCTTTTTTTTTTTCTTTTTAAATCTCAAAGTCACATTTTTTATAATGCAGTGAGCCAAAGAATCATTTTATTTGGGACACAGGACTTAATGGCTGCCTCAATATGAAAGACGACTCAGAAAGATGTGCTGGTTCAATAGATGTGTATGATTAGCATGATGAGTAAATCAGAATATTCAGTTTTTAATACCACCTTTCACTAGACAGCCATATTACTGAAATTACACTTTTAAACTTCCATTCACCCCTAAGCTTTATCAGTTATTCTTGCAAAGCAATCAGAAGATACTGAATTTGTGTATTTTATGAAATCAGTTCAAACCCCATTTAAATTATTGATTTGGAAGATTTCTACACAGAGTAGAAAATTTTAGTTCTCTGGTTTTTAATGTGTAGGCATGAGCTAAATATTCACAGGAAGATAATATAAATTATGAATAACATACTTAGAATACTTTCAGTGGAAAATCATAATGATGAAACTTTCTCAACCATCCATTCTAAAAAACATTATTGGGCTGAGAGAGGAGTGAATACAGCAGAATACAGAATTTTCAGATCAATGGAACTGCTCGGTGTAATACTATCATGTGAGACACGTGTCATTACTTTGTCCAAATGTACCTCGCACTTGGAAGACAGAGGCAGGAGGATCAGGAGTTTGAGGCCAACTTAGGCTACATAGCAAGATCCTGCCTCAAAGAAAAAAAAAAGTCCCAACTCATAGAATATGCAACAGCAAGAACGATGATGTGTCATTGTAGGTTCATCAACCCTAATAAATGAACACTGTTGTGCGGTGTCCATAGTGGGGCAAGTCATACATCTGGAGTAACAGGATATAAGGGAACATTCTTTTTTTTTTTTAATTAATTAATTTATTTTATTATTCATTTATTCACATGTGCATACATTGTTTGGGTCATTTCTCCCCCCTGCCCCCTCCCCCACCCTCTTCCCCCTTCCCCCCCTCTGTTCCAGGTAGGTCCTGTTCTGCCTTTATCACTAGTTTTGTTGAAGAAAAGAGACAAGCCTAATAAGAAAGACAAAGTGTTTTAAGGGAACATTCTGTACTTTCCCCTCAATTGTTCTGTGAACCTAAAGCTATTCCAAAAACTAAGATCTGTTAAAAATAATATTTGGAAAAAAGCATTTCTCACTCATTGTGTGAAACATCCTTTTTAGCTTAAAGGGACAGATTGTCTAATACCACACAGGGCAACAGAGTCTACTGGTTAATAGTAAGCTCTCTAGGCAGATCTCCATGCTGCCAATTATTTGACTGTTTGACCTTGTACACATTGCTTAACCTCTGTGTGCCTCAGTCTTCCCATCTATAAAACTGGCTTGATAATAATCTGTCTCTAAAGGTTGTTTGATAATTAAATGAGATAACAAAACACATATACAAGGAATACTCATTAAGCATGCCTAGCCTAGGTGTTGTCTTTTTGTTTTTTTTTTTTTTTAATATTTGCTAGAAAGCACATTTCTGAAACCCAATTATAACAAGGAAGGAAGGTTAGCAGATTTGGAACTTTTGCTTTTTTGCAAAAAGAAAAGTAGGTGATTTGATTTTCAATTTTAAATCTCTCTTAAAGACACTACAAGTTAACCACAGAACTGCTTCATGGTATTGAAGAGATTCATGGTCAAAGTGCCTCACATGTTAAAATGTGCAGAGAGACTACAACAGCTACAACCGCTATCATCCCCATATCCACCACACTGGATTCAAGCCCTTTCCAAAACCTTTTACACAGAGGAATCCTGTGTTTCTAGGCACCATTTATGGCATCGGCAATGGGACCCAGAGAACAAGTGAAGGCACCAGTACCATCTCTTTATGAAGTAACATTTTTTTTTGCCTTTTTCAAAACAGATAAAAATGACCATAAGAATAATTCTGATATTTTCCTGTCATACTCCAATCACTCACCCCACTTTGGAGTCCACTGTAGAGTTAAGGGGCAAGTCACCTACTGGACTGAAACTGCACCTTAGCCTCCCATCTTGTTTTCCATTTTCACCTAGTTTCTCTGTTTCTCTGTGTGTGTGTGTGTGTGTGTGTGTGTGTGTGAGAGAGAGAGAGAGAGAGAGAGAGAGAGAGCGGGGGAGGGGTGAATACAGTTAGTTACCTTTAACATCAAACCATGATATTTGTAAGAAAGAAAATGTAAAGTTTAAAGTGAAAAGATAAAAAATGCTGAGGTGACTGACTTGCTCAAGGTGTTTCATTGTTTGGTTTTGTTTTTCTTTCTTGCCCAACAGTGGGATCGTTCTGTGCTTGCACAAGTTCTAACAATAACACCTACTGGTGTTTGCGTACAGTCAACGAGACACATAATTTTCTTTTCTGTGAGTTCGCTACTGGGTTTTTGGAGTATTTTGATATGAACACAGATCCTTACCAGGTAAGGCTATATGTTTTTATTTCATGGAGGTTGTTGGAAATAGGATAACTAGAACACAGGCGTAACTCTGCTGCTCCGCCCTCTTTGTCCGCAGCTCACAAATACCGTGCACACGGTGGAACGGGGCATTCTGAATCAGCTACACATGCAGCTGATGGAGCTCAGAAGTTGCCAAGGGTATAAACAATGCAACCCAAGACCCAAAGGCCTTGAAATTGGTGAGGAAAAAACAGTATTTCTTTATATATGATCTGGAGAATTGTGTTACCAAGTTTTCTGCCTTTGAAATGTGTGTATCTATAGGAACATGTAGCTCAGGATACTCATAGGAAAATTTCCAGGCCGTTCCAAACATAAATTTGATCTCTAAGTTTAGCTCTGACTAACTCAATGAAAAACTTAATCCACCAAAAGATTTGGTGTGTGCTTCCTTCCAATCACTCCTACAGGTCTGTTCTATTACTAAACTCTAATTCCTGATAGAAGTATCTGTTGGAAAGTGAGATGTAAGCTCTGGGGATTTCCTTGCTGTTGTCATTGGTCATAAGATATGTTCTAAGTAAACCACAAGGTCCTCTGTTGTTAAGGGGACTTGAAACACACAATGTCCTGTTTCTGTGTGTCATGCTTTGGAGCTACCCCAATTGGATCCTTGCCCATGACACAGTGAATTAGATTTCTTTTGCCAGTAGTTCCCATCTGAAAATAGAGATATTTGAAGAGTTCATTAACTTGGGATCTGGAATGGAATCAGCCAGATGTTCTCTCTGGTTGGCAGTGTATAACTGATTTCTCCTTGGCTCAGAGAGATACAGCTTTTTGTGTTGTCAGCCCCAGTTATTTCCCAGTTAATGAGAATACTCACTTGTCCTCATCATTTCTATAGAAATTTAAATATCAGCTGTCCATAGAAGGAAGGAAAAAGAACTGAAGCTAGCAAGGGCATTGGTATTGACACAGCACATCAACCTCCAATGGGTGGAAAAGTGGACTCACAGGCAGAGAGCAGTTTGTAGGATTTACAGCCAAGTTTTAACCTGTGTCTGTGGGTCCCATGCAGAGCTAGCATTCCAAGCAATAAAAGTGACAGCTCTCTGGCTGGAGAGAAATAGTGCCTCCTGAAATGATCAACCTCCTTGGCTGTCATTTCTACCATTATAGGATCCTAAAGACTTTTGAGCTAGGCGTGTCCTATGAGAAGATATAAAGTCTAGGAGAGAGGTCATATCTCAGTTCTCAATCAACACTTCTTAGGTAATGCCAGCCAAGAGAGGCCCAAACTTGCAAAACAGGTCTTTTGGTCACTGACCCCACTCAGCTCAAGTCTTCAAATATCCTGCTTATCTCTTGTCCTTTTCTTACAAAAAGAAAAAGAAAAATGGCCTTCGAAGGCCTGGAATCTAAGCCAACTATTAGAGGCACTAGAAATATTACACCCAGATAGCTCTCTCCCAAAGAACATGGTGCCCTTAACTCACTGGTGATGACATAAGAGCTCCACTTCACAGAATCTGATAGGGTCCTTACTGGTGAAAGGACACACCAGGTTGGAGCCCATTACTGTTGTTACACTTCAGGTGGTCCTCTCTACCTTCTAGACTTTTCCTAAGGAAGATTACTATTGGGATTTTTTTTTTCTTTAGTGTTTTTTTTTTCTAAAAATAATCAATATTTAATTTTTACTGATAATTACATGACTTCTGGAAGTACTTTTCTCACTGCTTTAAAATGACCTCACTTCTTTCTTGCCCCCACTCATTTTATTTTTCCATATGATCTCTTGGATATTTTTTACCTTAAATCTTTTTATTTATAGCTCTCAATCCTCATTTGGAACCTCTGTAATAGAAAAGTCTCTAGATTTCAGCACTGTCTGCATTTAACAGAATACGATTCTTTCTAGGGTTTGGCTGTTGTGCATGGTGAATGGTTTTATGAGTTCTACAGCTAACAAATTACTCTTGTATTTTCCTCTATCAGGAAATAAAGATGGAGGAAGCTATGAACTACACAGGTATTCACACTTTTTTATTCTTGGCAGCTTCTTTCCCAATACTTGCATGGTCCTATCATTTTTACTAATTTGTGTTTCTTACCATGTTGCACACAGCATAGGTTGGGGTGCATGCTTGTTCTAACAGCATTCTTCATTGTATTTTGTCATTGGTTACAGATGTGTCCTTTTACTTGTAAATCAGTTCACTGTCTACAAAAGACGTCTCTGAGCATTAACTCTCTCCCATGCTTATTTGCTTGTTGGATGATGCTTTTAAGCATGGAGTGAATGTAAAAGGGGAGGAAGGCCAAATGGCCTTTGGGAGCCCTGGGAGAAGGTGGGAGATTTGATTCCTTTGTAGGGCTTGCATGTTGGTTTGGTGGAAGCTTCATGGATTTTTTTATTGAGTGAGAATTTCAGAAACGTGCTAAAGCTGATGTTGGAGGAAACAGAAGGAATTTCCTTGTTAATGGTGTTAATTAACTTTGGTGGCAAGAAGCATTGGCCTTAAGGGTTCAGAAGTCTCTGTAGGGTGGTGGTGAATAAGGTGAAGGTGCTGAGGGTTAGGGACAGTGTGCCCAAAGTCAAGAAAGGTCTCAAGCTAGCACTGAAACACAAAGATTTCATAAACACACCTTCACCCTGACATTTAACTCCCTTCAACATGCTTTCCTTACTCCTCACTCCCTGTGCACTGAAGGAAGGACCCAGATACCTGGTGATGTGGCACTTGATCACTCAGGAATATCAGCCATTGTCGATTTTTCTACCTTGAGCATAGACCTCAGTGAGGGAGGTGGAAACTGTGTTTACCACCTCTGCCCGGGGAACACTGAGGCGTGAATGGGTCTGCACCCTAGTTAATGAATCTTAGGATGAAAATTTTTTAATCCTGAAATTTGTTGATGAGGAAAGATTTTGAAAGAAATCATAACAACCAAACCCAAACAATTTGAAATTGGAAAATTCAACAGAATATTTAAGGAAATTTGTCTTATACAAAATAGACTAAGTAGGTCTTTATAAACTACCTTTTGGTGGATTTTTAAAAATTAATCTTCAGACTTATTTAGAGGGTGTTCAAACAGCAAGCCAATTCCCTGGTTTTTTGTTTTGTTTTATTACTTTTGTTTTTCCTGTTGTAAGTGCATAAGGCAGCTAAAATGCTTATCTTACACCGTTTTTTTGTTTGTTTGTTTGTTTGTTTGTTTCTAGTTAGGACCAGCTCAAAGGGCCCAGCTCAGAAGTGGCCCCCATGATTTAGGAAATAATTTTTGGGTTGAGGTGAAAGCAGTACATTCTGACTATTATATAAAACAGATAGGGATCAACAGGTCCATGGGATGTTTATTTTCCCATTATTAGTAATGAAAAACACTGCAGCAGCTGCCCTTTCATGTCCAAGAAGGGCGGAGGGCCCAGTGGCCGTGAGGGGCAGATGGTTAATTCTTTGCAGCTCTGCTTCCTGATCCTTTGTGCCAAGCCCTCCAGGCCAGCAGACCACCGAGAATTCCACCCTCAACAACCAATTTGCATTCACATTGCTTTGGCTGGTTTTGATTCATCTCCCCACAAGTAATAGTCAGTGCTGAAGATAGCTGTGTGTGGCATAGCTGTATGTATGGCACTGTGGTTACCAGTGTAAGCACTAGTTCCAGACTGCCTTGGGTTCAAGTGCCAGTCTTGCTGGTGTGTGAAGCAAGCCCTGGGAAGTAGTGGGTATTACTATATTACTAGTAAAGTAGGAAATGAGATACCGAACGTTTAGTGTATAAAAGGGAACAATAGTGATATTTATTCTAAAAGATGCTAGGGTATTTTGTAAGTGTCATCCAGAAAGAACTGTGACTCAGCTTGAGAACCAGGTGTATTCTTAAGTTTCTCTTACTGGTTGCATAGCCTTTCTGTTTCCAGAGTCAAGCGAGAGTTACCTGTAACTGGGTATCATGCACATTGATTATAAAGATTTGCTTTTCCAAATAAACCTATGCACACCTTTGCTCTCTGAATAAAGATCCTCAGAGTGGCCCAAGAGAAAGGTTTCCTTTAGTGGGCTGAGGAGTAGCAGAAGGCAGGACAGGCACATGGAAGACTTAGGTGCTAATGTCTATTAATTTTTAACTTTCTATTTTGATGCAACTTTGCATTTACAAAAAGGTTGCAAGAATAGGTCTGGGAAATTTTACCCTATTCCCCCACCTCTCCCTTCCCCATCCTGTCCACTTTCCCACCACATACACACCTCTTTTCCTGAATCAGTTTTGAGCCATTGCTAGGTATCATGCTCCTTTATAGAGAAACTTTATAGTATGTACTCCCTGAGGACTCTCGGGCACAACTGTGGCGCATTTATCAAAATCAGGCCATTGAACATTGATACAGCACTATTGTCTGATCCACATTTTATGTTCAAATTTTGCCAAATGTTCCCAGTAATGTCCTATTCATTGCTTTTGAGTTTTTTTTTCTGACCCAAGATCCAGTTCAGAGCCATTGATATAAATTGTCACTTCTTTCCAGAATCATTTTTTCTGGAATAGTTCCTCAACTTTTCTCTGTTGGTGATGACATTTTGAAGAGTACAGGCCAGTTGTTTTATAAAATTTGGGATTTGTCAAGTGTTCCCACATGACAGGAATGCAGTTGTGTATGTTGGGAAGAAATACTACAAAATAGTGTGCCCTGGGGATATCTAGTGAGTACTACGATAGCTATGTAACCTTTGATAATTTGACTAAAATGTTTGTTAAGTTAATCCACTACAAAATTGCTATTCTTCCTTTTTTAATTAGCAATTAATTAGTTTCTTGCAGGCATTTATGATTCTTGCCCGAGCCATTCATTATTGCAAAGTATTTTGGTTTTTGTTTGTTTCGTTTTGGTTTTTCAGTGCTAAGAATTGAACCCAGGGCCATTCATTCTTATTATCATGGCTACCATTAAGAAATGATTTCCCTTCTCACCTATTTATTTGTTTATATTAGTGTGGAATCACAGATCTTCATTTTAGTCCATGAATATTCTTTTGCTATCATTATTGTAATGTCTAAGTATCCCAGGTTTGGCCACTGGTTTCCCTTTAAGCAGCTTCTGTGTGGTTTTGGAGTATCCTCATTGTTTTTGAGTACTTCATAGCTTTCTGGCCTAGCATTGTGTTCCAGATTCATGTATGTTCACCACTCAACATTTGGAATCAACCATTTTTTCAAAGCCACCAGTTCCTCTCAGAGGTGAATGGTATTTGGAAACCAAGATCTGGATTTAAAGTGCATAAAATTTCTACAGAGGTGTCTTTGCATTTAGGTCCTTTTGGTAGGCAGAGCTAAGATGCACATATATAGATGTCTGATCCTGTACCTAGATTTATAGAGCTGGAGCTCATCAAGTGAGCTAATACTTTCAGTGTAGTGTTACCTTGTTCTTGATCTTAATGAAAATGCTTTTAGAATTTCCTCATTAAGTGAGAGGCAGGCTTGGGACCGTTATATACACTTTCATCAGGTTAAGGAAATAGCCATCATTTTTTATGTATGTTTTTATTAATGAGTATTGGATTTGTCAAAAAGCTTTTTCAGCATGTAAGGTATATTATTTCAGCATGTAGATATATTATGCATTGTACATTGTATTAACAAATTTTTTCATTCCAGGAATAAATTCCTCTAGGTCATTGTGTACTATTAATATAATATTGAATACTTTTCACTAATATTTTATTTGATGTTTCTTTACCATATTTATAAGAGATCAGTCTTTACTTTAGTAAGAAACTAAAATGCATTAGTTTCTTACTGCTGCTATAATAAATTATGACCATGCTTCAAAACAATACAGATTTATTCTCATATTTCTAGAAGTCATAAGTCTGAAATGGGTATTACTGGACTCATGGTATCAGCAGGTCTGTGTTCCTTTTTAGGAACTCGAAGAGAATCTGACTCTTTAACTTTTCTGGTTGCTCAGTGGCTGCCTGTGTTCCCTGTTCATGCCCCCTTCCCTTATCTTCACCTTCTCTTTCTCTCTCTCCTCTCTCTCTTTCTCTTCTCTCCCTACCTCCTATGCTTTCTGAGGTCACATCTCCTCTCTGACCATCCTGTTTCCCTACCTTCCTGCCCCCTTTCCATTCATAAGGATCCTTTTGATTGCATTGGCCACACCTGGATACTCCTTGGTAACATGCCCGTCTCAGGATCCATAACTTTGTCACATCCAAACATGCTTTTGCCATGTAAAGTAACACAACACATCCACAGTTTCTAGGGATTTTGATGTGGTCTGCTCTGAAGGTGACCCCTCACCATCATTCTTCCTTCCACTTCGATGAGTGCTATATTTGCTTCATAAAGAGTTTGGAAGCTTTCTTCAATTTTCTGTGTTCTCCAATAGTTTATGTAGCATCAGGATTCGTCCATGAAACCATATGGATCTAATGTTTCTTAATGTTTTCAATAACCTTTATTTTCTCCTATAGAAATTGTTCTGTTAGGCTTTCTGTTTCTAGCGGGTTAATGTTAATGCACTGTTTCCCTGAGCTGTTGCATCCCTGGAATGCATCCTTGGGATCACTGCATCTGGTAGGAAAAGAGAAAGTTAAGGTGACAATGAGAAGAACTGCATAACTGCACCAGCATCCTCCCCCACCAACTCTTCTCCATATATCTTGAAACATAGAAATCCATCCAGTCAGATCTCTCCCTGAACCTCCCTCATGTTGAGTATGAAGGTGTGGAAGCCAGCCCTTCAAGCCTTTATCTCCCCCCATACAGACAGCAAATGTCTTAATTTCCCAGACCAATTCTCTGTTGAAACTTTACTCTGAAAAAAAAGATTTATTAAAAAAAAAAAAAGAAAAAGAAACTTCACTCTGAGGACACTGTGTAACGTGACACCTCCATTTAGTGGGGAATCTCTTTATCCTATGGCTATAGAGTACGTCCTTTGGTCTGAAGAAATGTAACCTTGATGGTCCAAATTTACAGTTTCATTCCTTTACTAGTATTTTGAACATTTGCATTTACCCCCAGGAACTCAGAGCCCAGTCCAGAAGGTCTGTTCCTGTCAGGGCCCATGAAGTGCATTGGGTCCTGTATTATCCACTTGCCAGGTGTTCCGGAAGCCTTTCCCTGGAGAGATCTTCCCTGGGGGCCCTCTGGAGTGTTTGTCTCTTTTGCTAGTAGACAGAACAGTTCTTGTTGGCATTATGTACCTAAAAGGGTGCAAGAGGAACGATTTGGCTGACCTCTGTGTTAGTGCAGCCCCCACCCTGTCCTCTTATTTCATAGACCTGAGTGGCCACCACAGGATGTTCTTGGTGGTTTCAATAATGTTCCAGTAAGTACTCCTACTTATTTTCAGTCCATTTGATCTGCCTTGGGCTGAGTATCTCTTATTGTTATGTTTCTACATATATCACTTTGCATCTTCTATAATTTTTTCTTTATAAACATGATTGCTTTTTTTTTTTTTCACCTTTGGAACTTAGTAAAGATTTTATTTTTGTCCATTAAGATGCCCTCATACTTCCACCTTTTTAACACCCCAGCCCCTATTTTCTTATTTAAGCTTAGTATTTTCTCACTCACCAGTTTTTAATAACATTCTTTGACTTCCAACTATTTCCTGAACCATACTCAGTGAGCTTAACTCTTTCTTCTTCTACTTCCATTTTAGGCCCAGTATTTCTTTTTTGTCTTATATAATACATGTATTATTTTTTACCCTTCCCCTTCATTTGTTTGACTTCTGTATCTGATAACTATATTAAGTGCTCACCATCAATCTTTGGCTGAAGTTTTCCCACTGATGTCTTGGTTGAATGAAGCCCATGCTTTAGAAAATTGCTCAAGAAGAACCAATGAGTCAAGAGTATTTCCTGCATTCTTGTGACTTCAAAACTGTTTTCCTATAGCCTTAATACCTGATGCAGAACTGGGCTGGATGTAAGATTCTTGGTACATACTTTACGTTCTAGCCCGAGACAGTTTTATATTCTCAGATAATTTACTTTGCACTGGTGTGTTGTGGTTTATTTTGGCAGGGATATTTTCATAAGATGATAGGGGTTTTTTTCATTCATTTTATACTTCTTTTATAATATCTTGTGTAGATTTAGGCTGCTTTTAGTTCATGGATTTGGAGTATTTACAAGAGTCCTAATTTAAGCAGGCTCTTTTCTGTCAGTGTAACCCACTATATTGTGTTATTATTTTATAATTTAGAAGTGCAAGTGGGTGAAGTCACATGTCCTCCAATTTCTTGTTTCTCTTATTTTCTTGCAGGACCTGAAATCTCTCCCCTTTTGCTTCTTTCTTCCTTTACCACCCAACTCCCAAAGGGTATCTCTCCCTTCCTTTGTGGCTTTTTCTTCCCTCTTCTGAAGCAATGCCTTTCAAAGACTGCCACCTCAAATTATATGCATGAATTACCAGGACTCTTTGTACTTGGGATTGATGCTTCTTTCCAGCAGTAGTGTCAAATCAGCTCCATCTTCACTTCTCATTTCTCTTCCATACTATCTTCCCAGAGCGTGTGACTAAAGCGTGACATACAATTCTGCTGGGATTTGGTATTAACTTTTTT